ACCCCCCCACCCCCCCACCCCCCCATAATCACCAGTGGGGGCCACAGAGATGGCCTCTCCTCTTTGCAGCCTTTAGACCCAGCTCAGCCTCTGTTAGCGATGCTGTCCCAGGGGGGGTGAATAGGGAGAGAGAGAGAGAGAGAGAGAGAGAGAAGGAGTGGAAGGGCAGCTCAAATGGAGTGGGGATAAAATGCAGGAATCATCTTGCCGTTCATTCACAAAAGATCCTCCTTTCATTTCTCTTCTCTGTCTTTTTTTCTTCATTATTTTGTTAATCATCTAAATTAATTAATTAATATGTTATTTTAATGTATGCAGCTCCGAGCAAGTGCCTGAGCCTTTGCATCTGGCCTGTGCCACTGTCGCGTGGGAACGGGAGGGGTGGGGATTGTTGGGGTCGCAAGTGGGGGGTGGTGCATCTCCCCACACCCCCAGCTCAGACTCCCCCACCTGCCAGGCTCAAGTATATAAAGGGAGGTCGTGGTGGGGGAGGAGGCAGGACCCTAGTTGTTCAGTCTGAATGAGCATATGTAGCGAGCATCCTCTGCGCACCTCCCCCCGCCAAAGTGGGGCATTGGTTTGCTCCGTGCCTGCCTCCCAGTGGCTGCTGCTGCAGTATAAGTCACAGTCTCATCTGAGCACTGTGCTGTGTGCCCGTCCTCACCATGCCCCCCTCTCACTCACACACACACACACGCGCCCCGTAATCCTCTTACGCCTCCCCCTGCGTCCGGCACAGATTAGTCCCGCAGATCCGATGTGCCGGACCACCGGCACTGCTACCCCCGTCTTCACCACCGCCAGACTCTCGTCCTCTTCCCGTTCCTCCTCTTCCTCCCGCCGCTGTACCTGCCGCCTGCCTTCTCTGAGCGGCATGCTGGGCCGCAGGGTGTGAGGGACTTGGGGGGGAACGGAGCAGCGCTGAAGGTGTTCGAGGAAGAGGAGCGGGCCAGCATGAAGGCACTGCTGCTGCTGGTACTGCCCTGGCTGAGCCCAGCCAACTACACTGACAATGTGGGAAACCTGCACATCCTCTACTCAGAGCTGTGAGTATGATGTGTGCCTGTGAGTGCATGTCTGTGATTGTGTGTCTGTGAGTGTGTGTGTCAGTGTGGGTGTGTCTGTAATTTTGTGTCTGTGTGTGTGTATGTGTGTGTGTGTGTACGTGCGCGAGTGTGAGTGAGTGTATTTCTATATAGGTGTGTGTTTCTATATGCGTGTGTGTCTATATGCGTGTGTACCTGTGTTTGAAGGCATCCAGCACATTCTGTACTCAGAACAGTATGTCTGTGAGTGTGTCGTTGGCCATATGAGTGTGTCCATTTGT